CCCCCCCCCTAGTGGCCACCACCGTGATTAGCCAAGACAGTAAATTCAACTTTTTAAGTTTTAGGCCATATTCTGTGGCACGATATCGTTCAGTTCCGTTGGGCACTACTTTGAAACAAAATAAATAATTAGAATAAATTATACAAAGTTCAAATCCGCTTGTTTGCCATCCCAAAACCTGCAGTTTTCGAGGATTTCTTCTTCGAAAATTGAAGAAATCGACATCATTCGCAATCGATCTCCGCCATTTTTGTTCAGGATACTTGGTGTAATAATTACTATAAATGGGAATTTTCGCGGGCTCACACTCATTCTTACATGAAGTTTCCAGCTTAGCATTTGTAAACAAGGCGTCTTCTGATTCATGTTTAATTCATTTTGATGGGAAAAAAGGCCTACTTACAAGCTTTATTGTGGTTTCGTATCAAAAATTTTTTAGATTGTCGTAGAATTTGGCTAACTCTAGACGGGGAAGAACGCAATGTTGCTCAAAGAAGTTTGCAATTTGTTAGCGACAGCATGGAAGTAGCACGATCGAAAATATCGATGCAAATTTCTCTTTTATAGCAGTATGATGGAGAAAGAAGTTGTACCTTCATCCTCTGGTATCGATATTATTGATGGAGAAACGGAATCAGATGTTTTAACAGAAAATGGTGAGATCTACACACGTAAAAAACTCACAACTTGTCAACAAGATGTGTTCGCAAAAGACTTGTAGCAAGCTTGTCAACAAGTTGTAAAAATTCTATTATTTTATCAAGTTGCTGCAAACTTGTCACTCACAACTTGTTGACAAATTGTTGAATTGCAGGACGATAACAAGTTGTCGGAACAACTTGTAACAAGTCTGTTGAGTTTGACAACCTTGTAGCAAGTTGTCAAAAAGCTTGGAACAAGCATTGCGAACACATCCTGTTGAAAAGTTGCTGGAGAAGCATTGCTACAAGTCTGCTGCAGGTTTGTTACAACTTGTGCGTTCTTAAATATGTACGCTGAGTTTGCCTACACACGTAAAAACGTACAGCTTGTAACAAGTTGCGAACAAGTCTGTTCACAAGCTGTCAGCAAGTTGTCTTCACACTGCTTGTTCCCAGTTTGTTGCAACAAGTTTGAAACAAGCTGTTAACAATTTGTAACAAGCTTGATGGCATTATCAGCCTTATTACAAGACTGTGCTAACAATTTTGTTACAACCATGATATAACAAGATGTTACAAGGTTGTCAACATAAGGTTGTAACAATCTTGTCATATCAAGCATGTAACAGACTTGTCAGAACAACCTTGCAACACGTGCAATAACTTCAACAATGTTGTTTACAAGTTGTCAACAAGTTGTTCCAAATCTGTAAAGAACTTGTTACAAGCAGTGCGAAAACATCTTGTTGATGGCTTGTTGGCAGACTTGTTACAATATCCGAGAATTTACTTGTGTACGAGTGCGGCAGCTAAATAATTGAATCCCCATGTGTTGCCATGCATTTTTATAATTTGCAATTTTGCAAATCAGAAAAGTCATATTTCACTGAGTCGGTAAGTTTAGTGATTTATTTTTTTTTACAATTATTGATATTTTTTCTAATATGTGTTTTATAATTAACAAATATAAAAAATTTTCCGCGTTGATTTACAGTTATATCAACACGAGTGAAAATTGGGAAAACGAGAAATTGTGTGGAAACACGACGCCCGAAGGGCGGAGTGTTTTCACACAATTTCGAGTTTTCCCAATTTCCACGAGTGTTGATATAACTGTATATCAATACGGAAAAAAATGTTTTATATTTGTTTTATAATATAGCACAAAGAAACATAAAGAAAGGAAGAAATTTCCCGACGTTTCCGTGTTGATATTCAGTTATATCAACACGGCTCTTAGCCAAGCAGCGTTCAGAATTTACAGATGCTATATTATAATTATATATTGATTGCATTGCCTTTCGCAGCTCCCGTTATAACGGTTGTGTGATTTCTATGCATGGGTTTTTTATTATTCAGCACAAAATGGTGTCTGCGGAAACAGTAGGTGGTAAACTGAAAGAAGCTGCAACAAAGAAAGCTGACGACAATATTTTGATTCAAATTGCTGATAAGGACCTAGAATTGAAAGTGAAATACCACAAACAATGTTATGAAAAGAACATGTGTAAAAGGTTTCCACAACTTGTACGTTTTCCATGGACCAAAGTTATGAAACAAGAGTGAAATTGTTTATACAGAGTGCCTCAGTCAAGCAAGTGTAGTAGAAAGTTATATGGATGATGACATAGAAACTTCTCAGAGTTCACAATAGCCTGATTCTGATGTTGACATTGGAATGAAAGCATCCATGTACACAAGTGCAACATTGAAAGAAATGTACACAGTTGGCCTAACATTGAGAAACAAGTTGCATAATTGTATATCAGCTTGGTACAAGAACTGGCCACCACATGCATCAAATATTACTGGAATAATGTTGATATGTTGATAGTTGCCTGTGCAGTGGCGTAGCTAGCTGTCCTGCTTGTCCTGCCAAGCACGACTAAAAATTTCCCAAAATTTCCTTGCTAAAACATTGCTTTATTTATCTTGAAGCTTTAAAAATTCATCATTACCATATTGTTATTTTGTCTCATTTACTTGTCTTTTTCGTTATTATTTTTAAAAAGTTTTTCGCATTCTATTATATTTACGCAATTTTACAGCTTGCGGTGTTTGTTACCTAGCAACTGCAACTCTGCATTGCTTTACACGCGACTCGTTTTTCAGTCCTGCCATTTTCAAATGGCAGGACGTGATAGTATATTTCATAGTAAGTTCATACAAGAAATCTTGGTTTCTGATTGGATAATTAGATCTGCGCATGCTCAAACCGACTGTTTACAAATGCGAAGTCCTGCTCTCTCGAAATGGCAGGACTTGGTATTGTATTGTCTTTACTTGCGAGCTTTCCACGTGACTAAACCCTTTTCACTAATTCTGTCGAGATTACTCAAGTCATGAATATGGAAATCAAGGAGTGTGGAAGCCCAATATGATTTTGATGTAATTTCTGGCTACTGCTAAGATATTTTAGCTCACGAAATGCATGTGAACTAGAGGTGTGCATCGGATCGGATTGGACGTTTACAATCCGACAATTGGCTAATGTTTAAAATCCGATCCGAAATTGTCTAATCCGAATCCGATCCGATCCGAGTTGTGATAAAGGATTCCAATCCGATCCGATCCGAAGAATCCTCTAACAAAATAAATTTCTCATTCAAGTTGAAATGTTCAACCAAATAAATATAAAAACAAGAAATACATGTCAAGTGTCAAGGAGACACACTGTACTTGGACTTTGCCAAGGCATTTGACAAAGTAAACCATGAACTGCTGCTTTTGAAATTGAAACGTTTTGGCATCTCCGGTAATCTCCTATCTTGGCTACGTGAGCTATCTTTCTGGTCGCTACCAGATGGTAACGGTTCTCGGCGAGACCTCGAATCCATTAACTGTCCTATCTGGTGTGCCACAGGGATCGATACTCGGACCACTACTTTTCCTGGTTTATGTAAACGATCTTCTCGACTGTGTCTCAAGTTCTTCATCATTGGCAATGTTTGCGGATGACTCTAAATGTTACCATTCCATTAAATGTTATGAGGACGCCGAAGTCTTGCAGTCTGACATAAATGCTATTGACTCTTGGTTCAAGGAGTGGCAGATGTCTTTAAATCACTCTAAATGTGGTCTTCTTCGCATTACAAGAAATTCTCAACCGATCCATTACTCTTACAACGTGGAAGGCAACTTATTTAAAACAATCAACAAACAAACAGATCTTGGTGTTATAGTCTCTAAAGATCTTAAATGGAGCCTCAACGTCCAAGCCGTCTCAAATAAGGCCAACAAAATGTTGGGGTTCGTGAAAAGATTGTGTTTTCATGTAAGTGACCCAAAAGTACGAAAGACCCTGTATTTAGCCCTGGTAAGAAGCCAGCTTGGTTACTGTAGCCAAGTGTGGGCATCTCAAACCATCCATGACATTCAAATCCTGGAACGAGTTAAGCGTCGCAGCACGAAGTTTATTTTATCTCTTCCATTTCAAACAGATATTTCATATCCTAAAAGACTCGCTAAACTCAACATTCTTCCAATTACCTACTGGCATGAATACCTGGATCTTGTTTATCTATTCAAGTGTATTTATGAAAATTCCGACAAAAATGTGAAACTACATTCACCAAATCGTGTAACCAGACGCTCTAGTTCCACATCAGGACTCCTTCTTCATATTACCAAATCAAAAACAGTAACCTTTCAAAACAGTTTTTATATCAGAGCATGCAGAACGTGGAACACTCTACCAATATCTTTAAGAAGCTTAACTTTATTGTCTTCGTCTAAACGTTGTCTATTTAATTACTATTTTTTATTAACTTCTAATGTTTATAACCCAGAATTGCCGCACACATACAAGACTGTTTGTGTCAAATGTCACAAAGCCCGTCCTTTGGATTCACTCAGTGACACTTTGTGCTGCTAGTGCCCTTTCTTTATATTATGTGATGACTTTTCTTTTTTTTTTTGTTGTGATGCACTATTTAGTGTTTAACTCTTTGTATACAATATTTCTATGTATTTTACAACTCACGCGGGGAACCCGTTATTGGAGATTCGGTCCTTCCTGTTTTTGGGTAAATTAAATAAATAAATAAATAAATAGAAGGTGATAAAGTGACGTCCAATTAAAGCATCAAATGAAAAATGCAGCGACAACCGTAATAATGCTTTGATAAATGCATGGATAATTAATTCTTGCAATAATGCGTGGATAATTAATTCATTTTATTTCGAATATCGAAGTCCGATCCGATCCGACTACGAAACAACGTTATCAATCCGATCCGATATGTATATTTTTGTTCCGAAATCCGAACGAATCGGATCGGATTCGGATCGGATTTGCACACATCTAATGTGAACAGACTGGCGATTGACGATTGTGAATTTTTATAATACAATATAATGGAGAATACAAACATTATTTGTGAAGATTGCCGTGGGGGGGGGGCATTTTTTGAAAAGGGACCTGTCTGTGAGGTAATATATTAGAGGGGGATAGCAATGGCCGAAGGCCACGTGTGTGGCCAATATACCACGAATGAATGGGGGGGGGGGGTCTGGGGGTGTACTCCCTCAGAAAATTTTTGAAATTTGAATCTCGGAAATGTCATTTCCTGCATTCTGAGCATCCAAATTTGCTCCAAAATTTATGCTAACTATACTTGTATTTGAAATAAATAAAGGAAAAAACACACAAAAAGTTTAAAAAAAATAACCATCGTTTATCATTACTTATTAGAGGAGGATAGCAATGGTCACGTGTGCGGGGGTGTGCTCCCCCAGAAATTTTTTGAAATTTGAAGCACGGAATTGCCATTTCCTACATTCTGAGCATCCAAATTTGCTCTTAAATTTATGCTAACTATACTTGTATTTGAAATAAAAGAAGGAAAAATGCACAAAAAGTAAAAAAGAATATTAACCGTAATTTATCATTACTTATTAGAGGGATAATTCCCAGAAAAGTTTTGTAATGTGAAACC